TTGAGTTCCCTGTGGCTTGAGGGGATAGAAGGAATGTGAGCTTAATGATTATGAGGAAATAATGTGAAGCAGAGTTCCTGCACTAGTTATTTATTTCTGTGTAGCAGATTACCCAAAATTTAGTGGAAAGATGTCATGCCACTCCAGTGTTGGCCTAAAGGTTAAGAAAGATGGGGGATTCTGCAAGTGTGCTCTAGGGAAAGGTACCTGATCTGTAAAGGGTTTGGAGAAATCTCCAACCAGGGGGAAGACAACTTTACTCCATAGACGCTGTGGTGGATAATCCTGATTATCAACCTGATTGGCTTAAGGGACTCCTAGGGGTACAGTAAGGCACACTTCTATGTGTGTCTGGATGGCCCGGAAAGCATGACCTTGGGGGTCATATCTGGTCCTCCATTCCTTCCTCATGGCTCTTTCCCTGTCTCTCTCCTTTCTGGCTCCCAGGAAGTGAGCAAATTTCCTACCTTGCAGCCAGCCAACCATAGACCAAACCTCTGAAACCATGAGTTAAATAAACCTTTTTTATTACTTTTCCTCTTAAATTGTGTAGATCAGGCATTTTGTTCTGGTAACCAAAAGCCAACATGGAGACCATATAGGTGAGTCTAGTTAAATGAATACTCAATTAGAACTCCTTACTGCAAAGCAAGTGAACCTAGCTAGATTCATCTCCTTCAGAGACAAAAGACATCTTAGTAGCACAGCATTATAATTATGTATTATCTTGTTTTATGATGTCTTTTTAAAAAAATTATATTACTGAGGATTGAACACAGGATCTTCATACTGAACTCCGTCCCCATCCTTTTCTTTCTCTTCCCTTCTCTTCTCTTCTCTTCTCCTCTTCTCTTCTTTTTCTCTTCTCCTCTCTCTCTCTCTCTCACTTTCCTCCTTGTCGTCCTCTCTCTCTCTCTCTTTTTCTTTTTCTACAGGGTCTTACTAAGATTCCAAATTGCCCAGACTTGAACTTGCAATCCTCCTGCCTCAACCTTCTAGAGTGCTAGATTTCAGCTGTGTGCCACTATCCCTAGCCACTTTCTGTGCTGTCTCTTTCAGTAATATATTTCGTGTGCCTATTGCATGACACAAAACAGGCAATTATTATTAAAATAAATGATGAATGCATTATAGACTAAATAGATATGTATTATTAAAATAAATAATGAATGCATTATAGACTAAATATATGTGTAATGTAATGGGTAAAGTATTATGAAATTGGATAATATTTTGTGCTTACTTGTTGCTTATTTGATTAATTTTACACATAATTTCTTTAAAATAAAATATGACTGGAAGAAATAAAATATATGAAGAATAAGAAGGATTTTGATTGATTAAAAAAGGGAAGATTTAAATAGAGGCCTGATCTAAGACAGTTAAAACTTTCTAAGTTGCAAAGCAAAGGCTGAAGGAATTTAGGTGACATATTTCTGAGAAGATGTCTCAGCCTGTGGAGAAAACAAAATTCGGTCATACAGCATGACCCAGGGAGCATATGTAGCTAAGTCTAAAGAACACCAAGCTAAGCAGTTTAAAATCATGGTGTTTGAGACTCTAACCATTCTTCTTTCTTTCAACATATGGTAAGCAGATATAAATGAAAGAATTCTGGACAACAACATAAGATACCGAACATCTTCAAGAAAGGAACCTCTACAGAACAAAAGAGTGCAAAATAATCATTATTCATGAAAACAGTTTTCTATTTTCCAAGTAAGAGGATTTACTTGTAATTAATTTAGAAAACCAGTTTCTCATCAGAGAGAATTATTTTTGAAAAATACAAAAAACCTATTTCCTTTAAGTGGCATAAATTTGAATTCATTTAAAATTCTATTAAAGTAAAGATGATTTATTTGCTGCTGCTTTTAAAAAAATAACTGTAAGAGCATAATTTTCAGAGATTTATATTCTTCAAAAAAAGACATGTACCATTCTATGGTAAGATAAGTAAGCCTCATTACCTAGCAGGATCCTGCTGGAAAAATTTATGTTTCAACTGTAGTAGTTCACACCTAAGGGAATTACACATGTATTTGAGCTTTTACTCAAAAATATTTATGTACTTGGCACTTGGACAAATGTTCAAATTCTCAGAATTGACTATAAAGTATAAGCTTACATAATTGTTTAATTCAATTTGATATCTGTATTTTATCAACATGATTGGAAAAAGTCCAATATTGAATAGACTCAAAAATACATTTGGGTTGGCAGTAAAATTTTCTAATGAGAAACTTAATAGCCAGCATGGGAGAAAAAATAAAGATATTTAATTTTCCTTTTTGGGTTACTCTTCTACATAAGGATATGCCTGAATTAATGATTTGATACAATGTTAATGCAATGCAAGTACATTTACTCATTCATGTAATACATATATACTGAAATTATTCCAAATGCTAAGTCATGTTCTATGGATTCAAAACAAATCAGTGAACAAAATAGTAATTATTACCTCATAAAAGCTGTTAAATCAATGAAGAAGACAGAAAATGAATAATAGTGATCAAATTGTATTACTATACTATGTGAGAAAGTACTAAGTACTATGGAAATAAAGTTAGAACACAGTTAAGTATGGAGCTGGATAGATGAATAGGGTCCAGTGTTAAATAGACTGTCCATGCTTAGACTAGTAAAGAAATAACTCTGAATAAAGCCTTGAACAATGTAAGGGAAGAGTATGCCAGTTAAAGGGAATATTAATGCAAAGAGAAGGAAAATACACAACTTTTTTTTTTTTTTTGGTACCTGGAATCGGGTCCTTGCTCTTGGGCAGCAGGCGGCAAAACCACTGAGCTAAATCCCCGGCCCCCACAACTTTTCTGAGCAACATTAAAAAGTAACTATGATGGGCCAGGGATTTAGCTCAGTGGTTCTAGTGCCTGCCTCACAAGCGCAAGGTCCCGAGTTTGATCCCCAGTTCCAAAAATGAAAAAAAGTAACTATGATAAGAGGGAAGTGAGGGGAAAATTGGTAGGAAATAAGTCAAAGAAATTATGTTGGTGCTGATGGTGGAAGGTGTTCTCAAAGTGTTCATAAGCCTTTTAAGAATTTTAGACTTAGGTTTTTTCATAAATGAAAATGAAAAGCCCTCTTAGGGTTTGGTGCAGAGGATTCACTGTTGTGCAGAGGATTCACTGCTGTGAATTAGATTTTAATACTCATAACCCATGTCCTATGATCATAGGTTAACTCTGACCTCCTCGAGCAGACAACCTTAAAGTCCTGCCTGGCTCAATTACTCTTAGTTTCTCCATTAGTTAGTTTATGATGCAGCTGTGCATATGAGTTGAGTGAGTTCTTTGGAACACATGGTCTTTATTTTCTCCCTATTTTCTATTGCCATTTAAATTAATCATAAAATAGAAATTTTGATAATCTAATAATTAAGATAGACAAAATACGGATTTTAAATGGTAAATTCTAAATCCCGTAAGTAGTACTAATTAATTTTATTATTCATTATATTCCTAGTGTCAGATATTATTCTATGACTCAGGGACTCATCATTAATGAAAATAAGAAAGAGATTTTTGCTTTTACTGTTAAAATTAAACAGTATAGGCAGCATACAATGTACATTTGAAAGCTAGTTCTTATGCACATAACTTGAATTTTTTTCAAAAAGATAAAGAATTATGTTTTAATATATCATTCTTTTGTCTATGCCATGAATCCAAATTCAAGATATTTTTCCAATCCAATTTTATGCCTTTGAAGAGGAAGATTATTCCTGTATCTGCCACATTTGTTTCTATTTTTCTCAATAATAGTAGTTCCAATTTTACTCTAGTTTCACCTTTCTGTTCAGAGCTCATGTGGCTGGAGAAAAGTTAATGGTGGTACTAAATACATTCCAGCTCAACCAATCCAATGAATAATACCTTGTCCCTGGCCTGCTGGGATGAGTATGTGACTCTACATGGCAGTTTAAGATAGTTTCTGAGAGAGTTTTCTTATCCTTCTAAGGTAACTCCTCAGAAACACGTTTTTCTCTTTCTCTCCAATATAAATGAAGTCTTGTGACCACTAGCAGATGACGACAGCCATCATGGGCCATCAAGTGTAAGTCTTGAGTTGAAATAGCACTAAGAAATGTGCCACGGGGACTTGCAAAGGAAATGAGTCCTCACTCGGATGCCTAGAGGCAGATATAGAATGGCTGGTAAGGAAGATTTTTCACGGGGACGTGACATTTGAAGTGTGTTTTACAAATAAGTGAGGTAAATAAAGAGAAAGGCAGTTAGTCCAAGAAACGGGTTTAAGCAATGATAATACCATAGTATTCATTAATATTTATTAGTTGCTATCTGCCTGCTATGTTAAAATATTTTCAGATATTGTCTAATTTAATTTCTACAACTATTCCATGAAAAACTTGGTATGAATGGGAAGATTGAAGCTAGTAAAAGTTTCACCACTTACCTAACTTCAAATATCAAACAACTATGGATCTGGGAACTCAGACAAATACTGTGACATTAGGGTTCACATTTGCTCCACCATATAGCTCTGGCTTACAAAATTTAGGATCTAAAGTAAATTTACTGTAAATTTTGGCTTTGTATCTGGAGCCAAGGATACGACAAAGTGGAAGTGAATTAAGGAAATCAAGTGTTCTTTTATTTATTATAAAAATATCATGTTCAAAAGTTTAAATTTCTGCTCTGAAAATTGAATTTCTTATGAATCTCATTACAAAATGAGATTTTAAGTGTTTCAGTTCTTGGATCTTACTAATCCATGTCTAACTGTTAGAAAACATCCATAATATTGAGATTAAATAATATCAACATGATTTGCGATTATTTCAGAAGTGTAGAAATTTATAAGACTGACAAATTTTATACATAGTTTACGACATACAAGCATACACAAAATATATTTACTTTATTACATATAGATAATAATGGTCTTAAAAGATCATATATAAAACATACTTTCCACATATATTATCTATCAAAGAGATGATTAAGTCTGTAAAACAATCCAATTGAACATGCACATATCAAATGTTTTTTTCTTAATATATAAATATCCATTCCTATGCTATGAAGAGTAAATGAATTAATGATTATCTAATTGATTATTCATACTAATAAACTAAATTTTAGATTACTTTTCTTAAAACAACAACATATGTTTCAATAACTCTAATTCATTGCTTGTAGGAATGCAAAATATTACAACTTTGTAGGACCCTTTGGCTGACTTTTACAAAGCTAAACAGGCTCAATAAACAATCTAGTAGTTATTTACTAGCATTTACTCAAATGAATTGAAATTTTATGCCCCCAAAATATTGTACATATAAATCTGTATATGCATATAAAACTGTATATGCTAGTTACATTCATAAATGTCAAATTTTAAAAGCAGCCAAATCCCCTTCAGTAGAGTAATGCATAAGCAAAGTATGGCCCATACATACAAAGGAATATTTGCCAACAATAAAAAGAAAGCTATCAAACCAAAAATAGACACGGAGAAATACGTGTTGCTCAGAGAAGGAAACTAGTTTGAAATGACTATATACTATCTGATTCCAACTATATGACAGCCTGAAAAAGAAAATACTATAGACACAGTAAAAACATTAATGAATTCTGAAAGTAAGTAGAATGAAAGTAGGGTTCAATAGGTGATGTGATTTCTGTATTCAAAGGGCAATTTTCATATTTTGAAACTATCCTGTATGATATCATAATGGTGAATACATGACAATACACATTTGTTAAAATCCATGTTAATAGCAGAAGAAATTATGAGGGGAAAATAAAGTCTGCAATAACTTTCTGGGCAACTTTTTTGTAACCTGAAACTATTCATAGTACTTCATACTTCAATGCGCACAAATTTACATGCATACACATGTACGTGTTCATTTTACACACAAGCACATACACATCTCTCTCTATGTATATCTACAAAACGATTTCTGCATGAGTTTCAGCATTCCTCTCTCTGCTCTCTGTAAATCTCTCTCTCTCTCTCTCTCTCTCTCTCTCTCTCTCTCAGAGGAATATCATTCCTTATAGTTCTTTTGGATTATGTGGGAGGAAAAGAGTGCTGGTTTCTGAACAATTTCTAACTCATGAATTCTGTCTGCTTAAAAATTATAACATCTTTGTAAATTTTTGTAACTTGGTGGGTCTTGTATATGAAGACGACAAATTTCAGCTGGAAAAAATCTGTTGTGAAAAATATTTCAAATGTCACATCACAACTGGGGCCTCTGCTTATCCCTAAAGCACAGCTGGACCATATTATTACATTGCTACTTTATTTACATTCCTTAACCATAAGGGTAAATTTCCACCCATATATTGTATCATTCTTTTTCTGTGATGAGAGCCAAATAATAAAGAACAAGTTATACTAAGAGCCTAACATCATTTTCTGTGATCAATCAAACTATTTGAAAGAATATTTTTTCTTTATAGACTTAAGCAATTGCAAAACCAATTATATCTAAAAAAAGAATTCATATGTATATCATATTTAATTTGTACAATTAAAAATGAAAAAATGTAAATGACTTTGATTTAATATGCTTGTAAAATATATCTTTGAAGTATCTGTTTTTCTGTTTAGTGCTATGGTACTTCTTCAAAGTCTTAAAGACAGTCAATATGTCACTCCAAAGTCCTATATGTTCCTTGGTTTAAAGCACAGGAGGGTTGGTACTAACTAGTAATTATAGACAGAAAGGAGGAAGAGGATGAGGGGAAAGGAAGAAGGGAAGGAGGAAAAGAAGAGAAGAGGGAGTTAAAAGTAGGTGAAAAGAAAAGAGAAGAGGAGAAAAGAGAAAAGAAATGAGTTTCCCAAATTTATTTAGAGAAAGGAGGGCCGGGGATTTAGCTCACTGGCACTGCGCCTGTCTCGCAAGTGCAAGGTCCTGAGTTCGATCCCTGGTACCAAAAATAAAAGAGAGAGAGAGGAGAGAAAGGAAAAAACAAAACAAAATAGTATTGTAATCCAGTACACATGTGTATCTCCAAGTGCACCTTGACTTAGTACAATTGTTTTATGTTTCATATGTTCTTTGGCCTATTCTGGATTTCAATCTATATATATGATGCTTAACTTTATAAATTCTTATAAAATAAATGAATCTGCTGCTGGAAAAATGAAAGGGAGGTAGAAGGAGGGAAAGAGAGGAAATTAAAATGTGTCATGTATGTATACCAATTCCCTACAGTGAATATAATCCTTATGTACTGCAAATATGTACTAATAAAAGTCAAAAAATAAAGCAAAAAGAAATAAATAGATAAACCAAATTTACTATAATTTATTTTTATTTCTCATATCTGTTATCTAATTTCATCTCTACTAAAAGGCAAGTGTTAGTATCATAATAGAAGCATTCAAGCATGCTTACTCAGTGAGTTTAAAGATGCCCAGAGCCAGGGATTTAGCTCAGTGCCACTGCGCCTGCCTTGCAAGTGTGAGGTCCTGAGTTTGATGCCTGGTTCGGGGGAAAAAAAAAATGCTCTCTGAACTAGTGCTATCCTAGACACAAAACTCTCACTCAGTCTTCTGCTTTGTATTATAGTGAACAATGCGTAAGGGATAAGAATGTGTTTTCTATTTTATCGGATATCATTCCAGTATCTTATCACCTTGGAAATACTTCAGTGGAAATACTTCATGCAATTCAAAAGTACCAACCATTTCACGTGAGAGTCTCTAAATGAAGTTCACTGATATACAGAGGGACTATTGACGAATAACTTGTATAGTAAGTCCCCATCTTACTAATGAGTTCCATTCTGGGAGAATATTCATAAATCAGATTGGTTCATAAGTCCAACCAAGAGAATTTTATATACTTTTGATACAAATATACAATATAAAGCATAAAAAAGCAAACACATACCCAAATACAGTGAATTCCCACATGTACTACTGTGCACTGTCTCACTGTAAGTAAGCACACAGCACCACAACTGTGACCATGTCCAGCAGACACGTGAGCTATTTTCACAATTTGATTGCATCTATGAATGTTCATAATAGGAGGTCCATTGGTATCTGTGAAAGTTCACAACTTGAAAGTTCATAAGTCGGGAACTTACTGTATTTAACCAATTCACTTTTTCTATTCAGAGCTTTTTGTTAAGGACCTAATAAAAAAGATTAAATACCACTTGTATCTGCAAAACTTCGTCTTTGGGAAAGACTGTGAAGAAGGAAATGTGGTAATGTTCTCACGGCGGTTGGTAGAGAAAATAACCTAATAGGATCACACTAGTAGGTCTACATCTTCTTGCCTTCACATCAAAGCATTCTCGGTAATGATTTTCCACTGCCAAGGCAGGCTGAGAAACTTTCCATTACAGTCAAGTTTCACGGACTTGTAACCTTGAGACCCTTCACTACAAAGAAAAATTCCAGATGCCTGATAGAGCCCTGGTATCCACAGCAATGGGTCTGGATGGAGGCCCCAGCCATATGCAGGCAGAACACAGAAAGCCTGGCCAGTTTTCACCATTCCTGCACGGGGAGATCGGCATCCTTTTCAGTTTAGTACGTTGAAGATGCTGTTTCTGCTTGAACCCTAACAAATACAAAGCAATAATAATAGCTGAGAATTATGATATGAGTATTACTGTAAGTCAGATATTGCATTAAAAATTAATAAGTTTCTCACAAATGCTTAAAATGATTGTTTGAGGCCGATGCACATCATTTGCAGGTCAATATTCTGAACTTTAGAGAAACTGACTTCCTTCAGGTTGTACATCTCATATAAACAAATTAGGCCTCAAACTTAAATTTCCCAAATCTAGAACTTAGTCTCTTAATTATAACATGACACTAAGTCAAATATAATCTTAATACCTCTTAGCAAATATCAAAGGAACCTACATACAAAAGTGTTTAGAAAAATTTGTAGTTGAAAAAATTAAATCAGAACTAGCTTTTCAAATTATTTTTCCAGGGGTAAGAATTCCCCATTCTACTTGATTATTACAGCTAATGATGATGCAGCGGCATTCAAACTTCTTGTACTAACAGTGTATATTCTCACAGGTGGAAATTCTGGTTTTAACATCAGCTACATGGTAGTGCAAAGCCTATATAACTCTGCCCAACAACAAAAGAGCCAATGATACAGTGGCTGCTTTTCACCGCTTTTCTTCAAAAACACCAAGAACTGTGCAATCTAATCCCACTGGGGCCGGCTAATGTCATCCTGCATTTGACGTCCTGAGAAATATAGACCAATCTGTAAAAGTTATCACCAGCTGTAACAGAAAAACATGTGTCCTCACTTAATGTCAGTAGTTAGCTGGCCAAAGGCTCAATAATACCAGACACTAGCCTGTTCACATTTTTTAGGTGAAGTAAAATTTTATCCTAACCTCGCCTATTTAATATCACAGGAAATTAATACCTAGACATGTTATAGTCATACCAAGCACGTCACTATTTCACCAAGGAGTTAACTGTGTAAGAATCATGGCTACAAAGTTGAATTTGTATAATTTATTATAGACTCCTGGCAGTTTCATCCCCTTTATTTATGTTACCCTATATCGGGAATAGAAAAGAAACATTATCTCTGAGAGGTACAGGAATCCCTTTTACTTTAGTCCTCCTGTGTTCATGCTAAAAGACAAATGCTGTACTCACACTAAGTTCAGTCTTACCCGTCTCTCCCCCTCCCCTCCCCTCCGCCCTCCTCTCTTTATAGTGGTACTGGAGATTAAACCCACTGCCTTCACTTTGAACTACGTCACCCACCCCCACCCCCACTTACTTTCAGGAATATTTTCTATTTTCAAAGTATTTAGGAATAGTTTAATTAGAAAAATAAAGGCAAAGGGATTACCTATCAGGTTCTAAAAGTACCCATGAATTAAATCACAACCCTCAAGCAAAACAAAATCTTAAATTACATTGCTAATAAGCTTTCTTATAGTAAAGAATAAAACCAAACTATGCTGAAGTACAAAAAATATGAAATTCTGAGTATGAAAATAGTTTATTGATTAGACATCTGATTTATTCAAGCAGTAGGTCTACTGAAGACAGCTGTGGAGTAGGAAAAAAAATTCCATCCAGCCCCTGCATCATTTCAAATTTCCTGGGGACAGTTTATGCATTCTGTTTTGAGCGAAAGTCTTACCAAGTCATTAAATTGTCCAAACTTGGTTGGAACTTTGGAACTTGAGTTCTTCCTGCCCCAGCCTCCCAGGGTGCTGTGATTATGGCCATGCACTGCCACTCTCAGCCTTCTTTGTGTTTCTTTCAGAAACAAAAATGGCTACAAGTATGAATAAATAGACCAGTAAATTAATGAGAAATCAATGCATTGATTAAGGCTAACATTATTGTGACTTACACGTTGAGAGCTAATTACTTAAACAATTGCTGTATGTAATTGGTTAAAATCCTCATTTATTTGATTCTCCTTTATTCACAAAAAAGGGAAAGAAATTCTCATTGTTGAATGTCTATGATAGGTGAGATATTGAAACATAAAATTATTTATACTTTAACATAATTGTAGCATGTTGATAAAGATAATTAAAAGCTAAGAATGAGGCCTTTGGTATCAGACATGTGTTTGAATTCCAACTGGAGACTACAAAGAACAGAGCTAGAATTTCTCTATAGAAAAAATGTTTACAAACTGGAACTCTTCTTGTATATCAAAGAAATATTGATGGTTCAAAAACGTCAACTTTATTGTCAATAAAACCCATATTAGAGGATGTACATGGCTTTAGTTATAGGCCGTGTGGTTTTGATAATGCTGTCTGTTCTTTATTTTCATTCTCATTCCCACCTCAGGCATTAGCATAGTCTTCCAAAGAGAATATGAGGTCTATTAAGGGAAGCGGCCTTCCCACATCACTAATGTGGAGCTCTAGGATAAAGAGAAAAGAGAATGAATACAAAAAAATTTCTCAATGCTTACAAGCTTAACATTATTTAATTCCATCTGGCAGAGCCCAATGTCAGACACTTGTTGAAAGCATGGTAGTTATTAGTGGTTCAAGGCACACTTGTTCTAATTTTCTGTCCTGGAAACCGCATCTTCAACATATGATGTTATGTATCCAAGCATCAAAAAGGGAAAGAATCAAACCTGGGTCAAACTATATGACAGGCAAGAGAATGACTCCCCCAAAATAGTCATGTCCTGATCCCTGAACTTGTGAATACCTTTTATTAAATGACAAAGGGGAATCAAGGTAGTAGATTGAATTAAGGTTGGTAATTAGCTGACCTCAAAATAGGGAGTGCATCCTGCATTTTCCAGGTAGGCTTAGTGTAGTCACAAGGGCCCTAACATCCAGAAAGAGGGAGGTATAAGTGTTAGTGTCACAGTGATGTAAGAAAGAAAAGATCAGCTGCCTCGGATGTTGAAGGGGGAAATACATGATGCAGCAGACTATGAGTGAGTTGGAGTTACTAGGAAGGAGAAGAACTCAAGTTCTCCTTTTGAGTCTCCAGAAAGAAATATAGTCCTGCTTTCGCCAGAATCTCAGAACAGTGAGGGCATTTCAGATTTCTGTCCTTGAAGACAGTGAGATGGTAATTTGTGCTGCTCAAATTACTACTGCTCAAATACTACTACATTTAAGGAAATTTAATGAACTTAAGAAAATTGAAGAGGATTTCAGTAGCAATAGGAAACTAATGCAGACTGGGAAACAAAAATAAAAACAAAAACCCTTTGTCCTCAACACCTCACTGTCTTCCAGAACCGAATGGACAAGAAGCAAATCAAAGGCTGAGAGCTAAGGGATGAATTGCCAAGTAAGGTGGCAGAAACATCTGATGTTGTGTTGAAGTGGAAGGCAAGAGGGCCGTTTGGCGTGGATATACTTGGAGAAACACTGCATGGGGACTTTGGGAGAGAGGAGTTGAAAGCATAAACCCTCTTACTCTAGCAAATTGCCTATTTTTGGAGAAACTAAATAAAATGGCAAGAAAGAGCATTTCTATAGCAGTTTTTCATGAACACATTATGCTTTGTAGGCAATTTAAAACCACACTGTCATTCTGTGGTTCCGCAGTAAAAATGAGTTACAAAAATGCAGATTATTGCACAGCAAAAGAACTCCAAAACAATGTATCATGTCTATTTAACTCTACCTTTTAATCTAACACTAAGCCAAAACATTTTGTGAAAAAAAAATTGAATACTAAGACTAACTTGTTCCATTTTAGAAACTAGTAAGAATGGCTATTAGTAGTTCAGTTAATTATGGCCTCTGGGACATAAGCTGCCCTTCTGCAACGAAGCTGCCTCATTTCTATTCCATTTAGTAGAAATCAGATATCTTATTTGTGATCTACCTGGAAAGATGTAGGGCCAACTAGATGATACAAAGTGGCATGGAGGGCCGGGGATTTAACTCAGTGGTTTCACTGCCTGCTGCACAAGCACAAGGACCCAAGTTCAATTCCCGGTACCAAAGTGCCATGGATTTCAGGTAGGATAGGATCAGGAAATTACTAATAGTTTAATTATTCACATTTTGGTTTGTATAGTATAAAAGTTCATATGCAGTACAAATTTTTCATTGCTACTTAAGAATCACTTTTTGGAAGATGTTCTCTACTTTGATCCAGAATCCTGTGTCTTCCAGACATATTTTATTTTGTAATGCCCTCACCCTTGGCCATTTCTGTCTGCCCTTAATTTCTGGAGCCTAGAATTTAGATAGAATTCAGAAAGGTATCTGTCTCATGGGCCCACTACCACCGCTTTCAGCCATGAAGTTCTGAGTCAGAAAAGGAAAGGTTTGATTTTCTTTCTCCACGACAGATTCCAGAGAAAGTAGCTTATGCACCACATCTGGGACACACTCTTCCATGGAATGCAGATTCCCTGAAGTGAGTGCATATAACCAGTAATAAATATTTTCTTATGTTTTCATTTACCAAGTTGCTTGAAAAATTTTGAAGAATTATCCTGGAAAAGAACAAAAACAAACAAGCACATGCCGTATAAATAAAGTTGATATTAATAAACAAATGCTGTTTTTGCAAAGGTACGGCCATTTCTGAAGTGCTGAAATTTAAATATGTCCTGCTGCAACCAGGAAAGCCTCTCCATCAGCTATGTGGGGACTGTGAGGTTCTTCACAAGAGCACAGTGCTTTCCAACCTCTCATTTACACATCTCCTTTTATGTGAATGAAATCTTTATTCACAGCAGTAATTGGCCTTTTCTCTTAACTCATCACCAGCTCTAAGGCTAGCAAATCCTCTGTACCTGGTGTTGTCTAATATCAGAGAACACAACTCTAGCACCATTCTGAAATCTTGCAGGGATTTAAAAAACAAATCGAGAAATAAATGAGAAATGCTGAAAGCTATTTATTGCAGAACAAAATTTGTTTTTATTTAATAATGGAGCAATACCCCCAATTTTATCTTGTCTGTCCTACAAATCTCAGCTCTTTTTGGTGAGCCATAATTTGCCTTTATGAGCAAATCAGTGTTGGCTCAGTGCTTTGCACAGGGAGCTTTGGTGGGAAATGAGCAGATTTTCATTTTAAGTAGGTGAGTTAAAGAAAGAACCACCTTTAGGAAAGCTAAGGAGAGATTAGAGGTTGATTAGCTCTCACTCCCATTCCTGGGCATAATTGAGACAGTACCTAAACTGCCTCTAGTCAACAAAATATAGTGAATCACTTTGCTTTCACTTCTTTAAGACTTTAAAAGTTTCCCTTTTGAATTATTTTTTGCTATGTAGATTATTTATTACATGTCTCTCAGCCTATAATCCATTTTAAAGAATGTGTCACTATGAAGTGATTATGCAAATAGGAAAACATGAAAACACCACAGTAATTGCTCAGAGATAAGTGTTATTGGCCTTCTGGAAGCTTAGAGTATCATAAGAGCTATGAAATAACACCAAGAATCAATTCCTTTAGAGTAGTGTATCACTAGGAAAGAGTCTCTCCCTTTTGAGTCATTATATCACTAGATCACCATAATAATTGTGAGAAACAGTTGTTGTTTCTTAATTCTTCAGTGTAGATTCAAAGGCACAAAGCATGCACATCTTTTAAATTTATTTTTTTTGACAGGGTCTCACTATGTAGCTCAGGTTGACCTTGAACTCACTATGTAGCCCAGGCTAGCCTCAATCCTTCTACAGCAATCCTCCTGCTTCAGCCTCCCAAGTGGGATTACAGACATGCACCACCATACACGGCTGCATGCACATTTATAATATACAAATCATGTGGAGATTATAGTAATGATGGTTCCATGACATACTATTTAAAAGTAGAGTTGAGACATTACCAAGAGGTAAAGTGTGAAGTTCATACTCCTCCTGTTGTGTTTTGTTTACACTTCAGAGTCCCACAAAAATTTTAGGAAAATATTTAAAATTGGTAAACTTTATACAAAAGTCTAAGTTTTCAAGTCTGATATTCTAAAGTGGCATAAAATTATTAGTGCGAGTAATAGTTATCCTCTCAGGAAAAAGATGTGTCCTCTTTGGAAAAAGCACGGTTTCTCTAACTGATTCAATACAGGGCAGATATGTTTACATCAACAGAGTTCAACCAAGAAGATCCTGTCAGACTTACTTTATAAGTTAGTATTTTCTTTGATTCACTGACTCAATATACATGTATCTGTGCATTATACTGAGATAGGTATCACACAAGTAAAAAGAGAGACAAAATTCTTGTACTAATGCAGATCTCTAGATCTGCATGGAGAGTTGGATGAGCTTCATGTAGTGTTCTGTCACACTTCCTTGTAAATGGCATGTGGTAATTTTGAAATGCAAGACTTCACCTAATACATGACAGCATTCAGGACTCTGCTGATGAGTTACAATGTTTCAAGTGCTGTGGCAGGCACGGGGTATATCTTATCTAAAAATGAATATCTCATAATAACTCTCTGAGGTGGCTGCTTTTGTTCTTTCCGATAGACGTGATTTTACAAACCAGTCTCAAGGAAGACAATTTACTCATAGTCTGTAACTTATGAAGTAATGAAGCTATGATGCAGATGCTCATCTGATTAATGCAAAATAATGTCTCTTGAAGTATCTTATTATATGCTTCAAACAGCAATCAGCTTTTGCTTCAACATTTTTCCAGGAATCCATCTTGCCCAAATTGCATGTTTATTGGGTCCATTTGCTATCTTTTAAATTATAGTGTATTTTTACTCTAAGTAACATGAATTGCTGTTTCTCCGGTCTTCTAAATAATTTTGCATTCCATTTTTCATCCTTTTGAAATAAGATTTTTCTTTTTTTTGTTTTTAGTTTTCTGTTTTTAGTTACAAATCCAATGGCCAATATTATAGAGGTTTTTTTTATAGCAGCAGCATTTTTCTTAATGTTGCCTACACCAGTGAAGAATTTACCTGAAAAATTTCTACTTCATCATAGAAACTTTCCTCTCTTAGCCATGTGAAACCAATAGATGAGTGTTTGGGATGTAAAGAAAATAAGTTAGGACACACATGAGATTATTTTGAATAATCTTGAGTGATTATGGAACATTACTCTCATTGATAATATTAACATGTCATATAGAATATGAAGCTGTCAACAGATTCTGCTTTGTATGCATGAATGTGAGAACAATTAAGCCTTAAAGAAATTAATTTCTAAAACAGTAAACTTAATTAAGTGTCTAGCAAGTCTGTTTATGGCCATTGGCAATTTATTTTGTTTATAGATGGAAATTCACATAAAATAAATTAATTACTTTCTGCCTGTTATGTTCTTTCTCCTAAGAATAAAATATGACTTTTGAATTTTAATCTTTATTCACACTATAAATCAAGGAATTTTGTATTTGTATGTCAACCGCCTAAATCAGGAGCTCGAGTAATATTTACAGTTATCTTCAGGGTATAATTCAATGCAAGTGAAAACATGCAGTAATGCATCACTACAAATACATAAATCATGTGCCTTCATAATTTATAGCTGTATTCTCCATGCAAATATTATGAAAAATGAATTTCTATTACAGAACAGCCAAGTTTACTCAATAATTACCCACAAAAAGCAATAAGGCTAGAAAAGGTAATCAAATGGTCATAAATTTGGCAAACATGGATCAACAATTTTAGTGGTAGAAAGTCATATTTAAAAATCTTTTAAACCATCAGTTCTTATGTTCCTCACTAAAAACTTGTTAAAGCTAGAAAAATGACAATTGTACATGTATATGAACAAATATATTCCCTCCTTCCTATGTTTTCATACACGATAATTAAGGCCTGTCGTGGCCCTAAGATTGACATTCGTACTTTCTCAAATTTCAACTTAAAGCATTATCTCTAAATAATCTTGTATAGTCACAGAAATACATTGGTTAAATTTAAAGGAAACCATGACCATACCTCTAAAGATACAAATAGCTTCCAATTCTATTTTTGCATCTTTTAATTTTTAAAACATTAGCTTATGAATGAAATGGATAGTGATCTGTATCAAACTCTTATAGACTCTGATAATATGGATTTTATTTAGTGAATTTTAATAGTAGATATTTATGACTATGTAGATAGTTGTTAATTGATTAGTACCATAAGACCAAATCTTGATTTGTGTATTTATATATTTTTATTTAGCATCATTTAAGTAACCAAAGTGATAATGCTTTATCCTTATTCAAAAAAGACATAGCTAATGCATTGTCTTTTATGGGGTGAAATACATATTTTAAAAAACAAGCACAGTTGAATGCTAGAGTTTATTTGAGTAAAGTCTGGTTCACAGAAAATTTATACTTAGGCGAATATTGAAATTTAAATGAATTTCACTAGCTGATTGAAGAGAAAAAAAAACAAAAGCCAGAGCTGGAAGTATGGAACAGTTTAAAGCCTTTGGGATCCTCCAGTTTTTATTTGAAACTTGGGTTTACATAAAGCATAAAAGAACAAATTAGGAGACAAGCAAAGAAACCTATGTAAGAAACTAACATTAATCTCATATTTTTTCTTTTAGTATTAAAAATAAGATAGCTATATGTGACTGCTTGAGATATGCTTTTAACTAAAATTAACTCTAATAGAACCTGAAATTCCGCAGTTACCCCAGACACAATACCCCATGCTCAATAGCCATGTGTCACCTATGGCTACCACTCAGGGCAGTGTGGCTATCATGCACATATAGCACTGCACAAGGTTTGATTGGACAGCACTGGACTATGAATAGGAATTTTAATGCAGAGATCAGAGAAGTAATGAAAAAGTGAATGAATCCAGTTTATGATATACATCTTAAAATAATAATGATCATTTTTCAGTCGACAAAATAATATGTGACTATTGGGTCAGTGTTAATTTGATCAATTGTTCAAGAGATTAAGTGAATTGGAATAATTGAACCAAATCAAAACCAAAGATTACCCTCTATTTTTGATCTTTATGTAGATTTTTAAATAACAAATACCATAATTAAGTTCTAAATTTGCATTTGTCATTATTGTAGCTTTACAGATGCTGGTTTAGAGTAAGGTAAATTGGAGGAAGAACAGAGTTTATTTCAGACATTCTGACAGAAAACCTCAATTAAGAGGCCACTGAGGGGAATAAAGGAGAGAGTGTGATAAATATCACATGATTAATCTTTAGGCCATTGAGGCCAGAGTGGTAGGAAAGTAAAACAACAAATACTAAATATTTAGTTGAGAGAGTGGATATGTAGTCTGTTTTGCCAATTCCTGAGGTAAAAAATACATGAGAGAATATAAATGTTGGTGAACAATGATGGGTTGAGTTTTTGTCATACTTAGATTGAGATGTTTGTGGAATGTCCTAAAACAGATAATTCAATAAAAGAAAGTGGAGAAGATCATAGATCACAGGGCACTCTAGTACACACTTCACCACACTATGCCAAATCTAGTCACCCTCAGTTTTTCTAAATAGTTCTTTACAATATAAAGTTCACTGACCCTTGCTTTAGACAAGTGACTGGCGACGATGTAGTAAACCCACATTCCTCAAACAACTGTCAACTAAGCCCAGTCATTCACTTGATAAATTAGAAAATACTGGGAGGGAGATTTAGCTCAGTGGTTTCGCCGCCTGCTGCACAAGCGCAAGGACCCGAGTTCGATCCCCGGTACCAAAAAAAAAAAAAAAAAAAAAGAAAATTAGAAAACATTTCTTGTTAAGAATAAAACATTTAGGGCTGGGAGTTTAGCTCAGTGGTTCTGCTGCTTCCCTTGCAAGCAGAAGATACTGAGTTCGAACCCCAGTACCAAAAAAATAAAATAAACAAAAACAAAAAAATCTACCAAAAAACCCAGAGTAAAACATTTAATCTGCTAGAAGACAAACTAGATAAAACTCTTGAAGCCATAAGCATAGGCAGGGAGTTTCTAAACAGAATTTAGGTTGCATAGGAAATAGTACCAAGAATAAACAAACGGAATCATCAAATTAAAATGCTTTGCATAGCAAAAGAAACAACCAGCAGAATAGACAACCTACAGAATAGGGGGAAAAAAGCCAGCTATTCCTAATATCTAGACCATACAAAGAAAATTTTAAAATTAGAATACTAACATCTAGAACATACAGAAAACTGAAAAATATTAACTCTCCCAAATAAAAAAACTTACTCAGAAAATGGGTAACTGAAATGGAGAGAAACTTATCAGAAGTACAAATGGTCAATAAAAACATGAAGAAATTTTTGGCATCCCTGGCCATTAGAGAAGTGCAAATTGAAACAACACTGACATTTCATTTTACTTGAGAAAAAATGGCCATTGTCAAGAAATCAAACAATAATAAACACCAATGAAGCTATGGAGAAAAAACAAGAACACTTCTATGTTGTTGGAAGTTCTTCAAAAAGTTATATAGAATGGGGCCAGGGATTTAGCTCAGTGGTTCTGCCACTTGTCTGGCAAGCATAAGGACCCGAGTTTGATTCCCGGTCCCAAAAAGAAAAAAAAAAAAGTTATATAGAATTAATGTGGTCTGGAAATCTCACTTCTCAATATTCATCTAAAATAACTGGAATTAGGATCCTGGGAGATATTTGCACTCTCATGTTCATTGCTGGAACATCCACAAGAGCAAAGACATGAAAAACATCTAAATGCTCCCTGAAAGATGAGTAGATTACGAAAAGATGGGATACACATAGCATAGAATATTATTCAGCATTTAGAAAGAAGAAAATTTTATGCACCAACAGGGATGAACCTGTTGTGATATAAGCTATGTGATATAAGCTATTCATAGGAGGACAAATAAAGTAGAATTCTGCTACTTGAGGTTTCAAATTCTTACAAACAAAGTAGAATGGTGATTTCTAGGAGTTTGGGGGAGACAGAATTGGGTAATTACTGTAAAAACAGGTACAAGTTTCATGAAGATGATTAATTTCTAGAGGTCTGACAAACAACATCCTGCTTACGTTCAACAATACTGTACTATATGCATAAAATTTGTTAAAGAGGGGTCTACTTCATGTTACATGTTCATATAAGAACAATGGAAAGGTGAAAAACAACTAAAGCAATAGAATCTCAGAAGCTACAAATAAAAAATTGACCTACTTACCAGAATTGAGATATTTCTCCTTTCCAAAACAACATATAAAGAGCTTAGAATTCATTCCTATAATTATGATATGAAAAACTGATCTGTATGCCAGTGAACTTTCTTACAATCAGGTATAAAACTACTTTTTTCTGGGCAAAATATTCCAGTACATTCTGGCTAGACAGGAGAATTTGGAGTTTCAGTTGACATTTTCTTAGCTGGAATACAAGTCACCACACCTATAAATTGGAAGAAACACTTAAATGTAATTTTTTTTGAATTTGTGGAGACCAAATTTCTTGCAAGAAATGTGAAACTCTCCTGGCTTCTACTTTGCTAGTTGAAGATACAAGGAAGTTGCTGTCATAACTTTGGAATGGTGAGAGGATGAGAAGTCATTGGGTAATAAGTCCACAGTGTTCTCTGGAACAAAATCCACACTCCAGGGGGGAAAACTTTACCAGTGTCATATCCTCACGGAGGGAGGTGGTTTTAAACTACTTCATATCCTGTACTCTTTCTGTTTTACCAAAGCAGATGGGAAAGTATAACAGAAAATACACACTTGAGAAGGTCACACCCCAGGTATGAATGCTTGTTAAAAGACAAAGACTTCATTGTAAGTTCATGAAATACTTTCTCTCTCCCATTCCTTATTATCACATAATAAGGCTCCAATAAATTAATGGAAATTGTAGGTGTATTCACTGGAATAAATTGATGCCCTCTGAAGAAGGAGTACATAGGAATACTCAAAGCCAAGAAGGGAAACAAAACTAGGACATTGGAGGAATTTGAAACTTTTGTCATCTAAAACCATATCAGATATAGATAGAGTCCAATTCTTAAGCAAAGTAACATAAATCTTCACAATAATATCCTATTTACTTCACTTCTCATGTCTCAATAAAACATGCCTAGTTTTTACAAAATATGTGAAATTATGCCAAACAAGCAAGAAAAGTCTCCCAAGGAGACAAAATAGGTATCAGAAACAGATTCAGATATGGAGCAGATGTTGGAATTATCAGACTGGTATTAAAAACATAAAAATCTATGATAGTATGTTATAGAAATTAATGGGGAATGTTTTAAGAACAGATAGGAAATGTAAGTCATAGGAAAGAAACTGAGAAAGAACCCAACGGAAATTCTTGGAAACACAGTGTTAACAAAAATGAAGAATGCAAGTGACAAGCTGACCGCTTGGTATAGTTGAAGAAAGAATCACTGAGCATGAAGATGGGTCAGCAGAAACTTCCTGATCTGACATTCAAGGAGGAAAAAATAGAAAGGTAAAAATTCAAAAGATTAAAAATTACAGAACATCTTTCAAAAGTGCAATTTGTACATAGTTAGAATACCAGAAAAAGAAGTAACAATGACTGAGAACCTTCTAAATTAATCATGTTCCCTAGCTGTGGATCCAGGAATCTCAGAGAATAAATGGCAGGGTTAATGCCAAAACCAAAGCTAGGCACATCATGTTGAACCTTAGAATCCATTTCTGTCCTCAGAAAAGAAAGATTTAAAAAAATCTTTTTAAAAACCCAGAGGATGAAATGCACCTACCTTTAGAGGAACAAGCATGTAGTGAGCTTCTTGGTACAAATCACGCAGGAAGAGGAAAGTTGGATGAATGTGACTGGTGAAAGAAAGAGACAAAAATTAAAACAAAAAAGAGTCAACATTTCCATACTCACCAAAATTATCCTTAAATATGAATGAAAGATAAAGGCTTTCCCAAACAAACAAAAACTTAAGGAATTCATTGCCCACACACCTACATACAAAAACTGTTCATTTTCTTGGGATAGCAAGAAAAAGATTTAAGACAAAAACATGGATTTACCTACAGGAAAAGAAATTCATCAAATTATGTAACTATTTTATGTTTCTTATTTCTATTTGATCTTCTGGAAAGTAATAATGAGAACAAGTCATTGTAATTGTTGGTAAATGAAATAGATGTAAATAATGTCATAAGAAGGAGGAATTGGAAGTGATATAATGTATCTGCAATACAAATGATGTGAGATAATGTTTGCAAATGAAAATTAGGTTTGTTAAAAATATATGTTGAAAAATCTAAGGAAATCACTGCATTTTTAAAAAATCTATATTCTAAAACAGGAGATAAAATAAAGTCACATAATGTGCTCATGTAAAGCCAAAGAAAGTCAAAAGAGGGTAAAAGGGAAAGAATACATGGAACACGTAGAACAAAGGGGCAAGCGTTTTAGAAATTAATTCAGCTATACCAATACTAATTTTCAATGTGAGTGGTCAAAACACCACATAAAACACAGGCATTTCCAGAAGGGATAAAAGAAAAAACTTCATGTTGTCTAAAAGAAAACAACTTTAAAAATAAAATCTCAGATTTATTGAGTAAAGTGATTGAGAAAGATATACCATACTAACACTAATCAAAAGAAAACTAATGCAGCTTTATTAATATCAAAATAACATACTCCAGAAAAAATTATAATGGAAAAACACAGGTACTACATCAGAGTATAGGAGTTAATTTTAATTTCTACTAAATTGACTCTACCTAACAAGAGAGTGTCAAAAATTATGAAACAAAAGCTTATGAAATTGAAAAGATAACAAGACAAACTCACTACATAGTTGAAATCTTCCACATCTCTTTTAGTAACTACTGAAACGTTAGGCAGAAAATCAGATAGTATTTATATTCAATATAACCAGCAATTGACTTGATCTTATTGACATTTATGAAATACTATAGCCAACAACAGAATATATATTCTCTTGAAGCTCACTTACATGGAACAGTTAGCATGGTTGAAACCATTATGAGACATAAAATATGCTTTAACAAACTTAAAAAGAATGCAAAATATGTTCTTAGAGTAAATAGAAATAAAACAGAAATCAAACAGAAAGATGGTGAGTAAATACTTCAAATTAGACAACACTATTCTAAATAAGTTTTCAATCAAAGAAGACCTCACAAGGGAACATATTTTAAATATTAAAGTAAATGAAAATGAAAATGCAATGTATCAAAATCTGTGGAATGCCGTGAAAGCAATAATAAGATAGAAATAAATAATATTAAATGCATATATGTAGAGAAGAAAGATTCAAAATCAAAAGCCAGCCTCAATTTCAGTTTAGGAAACCATTTTTGACTGTCTATGGGTAATATTTTTAAATTGATACATCTAATTTTGTATATTCTTATAAATATTTTACTTTAGAGCTATTTGTAAATGTGAGAAATTGGGATAAAAAGTATTTTTTCATATGTTGTACTGTGAAATGACTTGAGAACTATTACATCTTCAAAGACTTTTTCTTAGTTTTAGGATGATGTGAACATAAACTCTCAATATTATTATGGTTTTTAAAAGGAAATGTGAGGAAGAATCAGCCACTTTTTTCTCATTGTTCAAGTGGTAATGTCTCTGAAACTTCCTGTATCATATTATAGTTTATCAAATTTAGTAACAAAATACTTAGTACAGTATATTTTTGTATTTGTATTCTATTAACAGCATATGAATAGTATTATATAAATCTGATAGCCAAATCAATGATTTAAGTACATTACTAATAAAATGTAAAATATTTAAGACCTTATAAATTTTTGCTGCACCCGTTTTTTAAAGATTTCAATTATTTAGCAAACAATTATTGAGCAACTATGCATCTACAAGGCCAGATGTCAGGGAGACACAGTTGGAAAAGCTTGGCTCTTGCCTTTGACCAATTCATATTCAGTAAGACAAATAACCACGAAGACATTCTGAAAGTAATAGAAAATACTGTGAACTTTATTAATATGAAAATTTGCTTTGATCTTTTCCATATAATAAGATAGGAAATTCTTGTAGTGGATATTGTGAGTCATTGTTCTGTTCTTGTCTTCAGTACTGGGAGACTTAATTCTCCAGTTACTGAATTTCTCACAATTCACAACTTTGTCTTTTGGGGTAAGCACACACTCTGTCACGTTGCCGGGGCTTAGGAGTGCAGCTGTCTTTGTATTCAAGTCAGCTCTAAGGTTCTTCCAGCTCTGGAGCTTCTATTAGGAATGGCTGGGGCTGTAAGTACCAGCAACATAGTTGATCTGTCTGCTTTCCTCTCTCCCTTATAGTATTGTTTCTGAAAGTTTTTCCCCATCAACTTCCTACAAGAAAGCTTTGTCTCATGGTCTGATTTTTGGCGAACTTAACATCTGCTTGATTATATGTACACATAAGAATCCGAAGTGTCAAAAAAGAAAGTGTTAAATCGGGCATTCTAGGACTGCAATAAGGCACCAAATAAGAGAATCTATCAAGGAAGATCTAACGAGCAATTTAGAGTCCAAGTCCATCAGAATGACGCAGACACTGTTGTTTAAGAAGATAATTTCACCTGGCACAGTGGTTGTGAATAATCACTTTGGTAGATATAGTAGGTATAACATAGAGGGCATAAGATTAGTGTAGCCTTTAAATTGCTATTATTGGAATAATATAATTTGAATAATCTCATTGGTGTGGGGAACTAAGGATGTGTCTTCTTTAATTACAATAAACTACAGTGGTGCCTTAGTTCACGAACTTCATTTGTTCCATGATTCTGGGGAAGATGGTCATGGATATGTTCATCACCCAACGTGGAGTTCGCAAAAGGAGCAAAATTTTTGCCAAATCTGTTTGTGAATGGAACTGTTCAGGAACAGAAGCATTTGCAAACTCAGGTGTTACTATAAAGAGGGTTAAACTTGAAATTTCCACATACACATTCATGTATGCCTGAAACCTGTTATGAGTTAATTATCTCCACCATTAAGTTAAATATAAAAACTTGAAATTCGGTTTTACAAACGTTGGTTGGAGGGTTGTTAAATAATTATCAAAAAAAAAATAAGATGTATACTATTGTTAGAAAGCAGTGTGATTTGAGGTGATTTGTGGATAATTAATTTTATTTTTATGGCTATCAGAAAACGTAACTGCTCTACAGTGATGTGATTATATAGTCTTTGTTTTTATTTAGCACAGTAATCATGAAATAAATAACAAAGACGCTAAAAAGTTATGCAGTTGGTAATCAAGTTATTGGATTTTGAACTTCATTGACATGGGAGAAATGGTGATTGAAATGACACAGTTTGGGAAAGCCTTGAGGTATGGAAAGAGAAGCGGGGAGACTAAAAAAGTTTAGACAGATGAAGTTTTGTAATTCAATATGCTGGTCCTCGGGGT